CCAATGTGTCATCTCTGAAGAAGCAAGTGGATGCCTTATGCGATCCGACACCCAGTCTTGAGTTGTTTGGTTAGCTCCCTTCCGGTATCAGTTCCCTTTTCCAATCCAGATTGGAATTCCTATTTCTACTACTTCTTGGAATTCTTGTACTAGCATAATATTCAAACTAATTGTTGTTTTCTTTACTCAGTGTTGTAAGAGTAGCATACAAACTAGAGTAATGATTGCTCGACGGCTTGAGATGGTTGATCTGTCTTATAATCCTGGACAAATTTCCTTTTCTGCTAGAGACTATGACTAAGGATGCATTTCAGACTAATCCTTTCAAAAATGCTGTTATTATCGTTACTGTACTTGTTCTATAATCATATACAATGTAAATGCAAGGTGTCATAGAAAAGCGCATATGCAATGTTTGTGCAACAATCTAAATTAATTACATAACATACGAAATGCTTCCTCTGTTAATAAATATACTTCCATGCTTGTCCACTATTTCCCCCCAACGTGGACAACTAGGCAAATAAATGAAATAAAAGCCTAGCACCAAGGGACATGATGGACCCAGGGCAGGCAGCAACCACCCTGGCGCCGAGGGCCAATATTTTGATCATCAATGCTTTCTATCGAAAGATTAGAGATCAAAAGGGGGAAATGACAAATAAAAATGGCAAGCAATAGGATATATTGGAGTATATGAGGAAGCCATTTGGTATAAACCTAATTCGGCCTGAGTTCTTTTTTTTTCCTCCTAAAGGGCCTGACTGACTATTGAGCACGCATTGCATATCTGCTTAGACATTTCCTATGGCCAGAACAAAGGCCCTTGAGATAAAGGTGCAACTTTCCCCCACATTAGCATTTCCTTAGGGATAAGCATTTTTCCTTAGGCTAGGAATTGATTGCTGCACTCACCTCCCAGCTCACCTGTGACCACCCAGCTGGAGACAACAGACTGCCACCCTGCTGTGTTCACAGAGACAGCAGACCTACCTGCTATTTCCATCAATCGCTGTGCCGACAGAGCAGTCTCGCGACTATTGTAAAAGGGACATTTCAATCCTATGTGAAACATCCTCTTTGAGGGTATATAACCACCCTTATACCCCCACTTCTTTGGAGTGCTCTGTTCCTTTGTGGAAAGACTCTCCCGGGTTATAATCCTCAGATTTAAGCTCAGAATAAACTCACCCAAATTTTCATTTATAGATTGGATATGGATTATTTTCGTCGACATTGCTATGTAGCAGGCATTGTGCTATGTGCTTTCTTAAGTATAAACTAGTTGAACTTTCACACCCACACTATGAGGTTAGAACTATTATTATTTCCATTTTGCAGTTGAGAAAGCTGAGGTGCAAAAAGACTAAGGAACTTGACAAAAGTCACACAACCAGCCTTCTTTTCTGAATTTAAAGTGGGGATTATAATACTTGCTAGTTGTGTAATGAGGATTAGTGAGATGATACATATAAAGAGTGCTTAGCCGGGTGCTTGGTTCAGAGTAAGTGCCAGAGACCTATTAGTCATTATCACCTTTATTGTGTTAGGAATTATCTCCTTTAATACTCACAGCAATTCTTGTATCATTCACCTAAGCAATTCTTGTATCATGCAGTGGCACCTAGGTAGAAATTATCAATAAATCTTCTTTCATTATTCTACTTAAGGCTCCTAAGGAAGGAGTCAGGTGCAGGACAGTGGGCATTGGACTTGGTATCAGATGCCCAGTGTTCTTGTCTTAGCTCTGCCACACATTGCCTATGGGACCAGGAGCCTTGGATTATGACAAATGAAAAATTTTTCCATTGCTAAATCTTACCTATGTGTGTGGAATATTTCTGAGTGATACAAATCAGTTCACTCTCCTGAGTCCCATTGTGACTGTTTGTAAAATGGAGCCATAGGTACCCACTCTAGAGGAATGTAAAAATGGTAAACTATAGAAGACTGTACATATGAAATACTAGTTAGAGCAGGGGTCAGAAAACTTTCTTTGTAAAGGGCCAGATAGTAAATATTTTAGACTTTTGATGGCCATGCAGTCTCAATTGAAACTATTCATTCTGCTTTTGTAGCACAAAAGCAGCCATAGAGAATGCGTAAATGAATGAGTGTAGCTGTGTTCCAATAAAACTTTATTTCCAAACCAGTTGGCAGGCCTTGGTTTGCAGACTCCTGATTTAGATCCTCATTATTGGGCACCAGCTTTATGCCAAGCACCTGGTAAGCACTGAGGCTACAAGGTAAACAAGACCTAGTGTTTATCCTGGAAAAGCTCCCAGTCTTGTGGGGGAGTCAGGCACACAAACAGGTAATCAAAATGCAGGATTATAAGTGCTCAATTATGGCATGAATGGAGTGTGTTTGCTTTTGACAAAGGAGGCCCCTGTTGTTGTGTGGTGTGATGATGGCTCTACTTCTGTCTAAGAAAGAGTCTTTTTGGTTCAATGAATCTTTTCAAATCCATTGATAAAAGTTTCACCTCATATATCCCTTTTATTACTCTTAACTATATCCTGAGACTCTTATAAAACAATGCTCAAAACAAATGGGATTTTTTAAAAATAGGTTTCTCTTGTGTCCATTCTTAAGTACTCCCATAGGGAAATTCAGCTTTGTAGTCTCCCCTTTTGTTGGTGAATTTCCTCTAAACACTAGAACCAGAGGGCCACAGTGGCCTGGCCTACATACTGGGAATGCTGGCCCTACACTTTCATTCACTAATTGTGTGCTGAGGGCAGGTCCCTTGACCTTCATTGTCTTCAGTTACCCTGCTGCAGCTGGAGGGGCCCAGCTAGGTGGTTTCCAACGTCCCTTCCAGCTCTTCACTGTGGATGGTGCATAAATACACAATGTGCCCCTGTCATGTTTTTCAGTTGAATTTTCTGTGCCTCAGTTTCATCCTGTGAAATGGTGGGTGGAGCAGACTAGGGAAGCTCAAAGTTATCTTTGATTTTAGTTGTACTTGGAGGCTAAGACTGGCTCTTTTCAGGACATTATTTTTGGGGATGTACTCGGAGCAAATCCCAAGAGGGAAGGGCTATGGCCAGGTGGAAAACTGGAGAAAGTGAAAGTGAGAGTCCTGAGTTTATCTGCCTAATTTGGGAATGCTTTGTGTAGGAGCATTGTCAGGTACATTGGTAATCTCCCACCAACAACTCTCCCTCACCATGACCCACTCTGGGCCCTGGCACCAAAAATGTGTCCAGATGCCTTTTTTGGAAGCACATTCTGCTCTGGTATTGCCAAACAAACTCAGGAGATAGGAGGCAGGCAGGCAGGCAGACTTGTATATGGACCATCCTCTGTGCGTAAAGCCCTGTTCTAGAAAGGAAGTATGTATAATGGTTAAGGGCATGGCTTCCAGTGTCACACTGCCTAGATTCAAATCCCAAATCTATTAATAGTGGCTGTGGAAAACCTAGGTAAATCATTTAACCTTTCTCCACTTCAGTTACACCATCTTTAAAATGGGGATGACAATAGTTCTTACCTGACAGGGATGCTGTGAGAACTAAAAAAGAAGAACTTAGTGTAGTGCCTCATACTTATAAATGTTAGCTGTTATTATTATCATCCTGAGTTTGACAGCCTACTTGGAGAAACAGAACTCAAGGATGAGAGTGGCAGTGTGGGACAGAAGTAAGGGCTCTTCTTGGCCTGGGATGCGGGAGGACTAAGCTTCTGTTGGCCTGCCACTGGCTTGATGTGTGACCTAGGTCAAGTCTCTGCTCCCTTTTGGTCCCATTTTTCCAAACTAGATAATCTTTAGATGGTCGCTTCCAACTTGAACATTTTCTGAGTCAAATAGATTTTGTGCAGGCTATACACATAAGTACAGGAAGGACACAGAGTAAAGGCATCATCCAGGTCTGGTGAAGTTAACCTTGAAGTCTAGACCAGAGAAGGAAGAATGAACAGACTCTGAGCTAGTAAGGTGACCCCTGGCAAAACCACCAAGAAGGCAGAAACTGTCTTTGGGGCTCTGGGCTCTGACTGCTTTCCCCTCTCTTCCCTTTCTTTCCCTTCAGCCTCTGAACATCAACCTGGCTTCTGGCCTCTCTCCCTCTCAGCAAACTCTGTTCTCAGGCTGTGCAAGGAAGTGAGACAAAGAGCACTGGTTGGAGAGAGACTCCATCATGATTGAGCTCCTAGTTCTAGTCCTAGCTGTTCTGAGAAGCATTCTTAGGGGCCCCTAATCTTCTGTCTATCCACCTCTCCCCAGCCCTCATCCTCCTCTCAGTCTACTGTTTCCTCCTGCCTTCCCTCTAAGCTTCCTCTGCCTTTATCTGTACCTCTGTTAGAGCACTTATCAGGCTGTATTGTAATTGTTTATGTCCAGCAGTCTCTCCCAGTAGCCTATGAGTTGGGGTGGCTAGCTGTATGTGTCTGTTTCATCTCAGTGGTGTCCAGCACCTAGCTGAGGGGTCAGTGCTGAGCAGGTGATTTGGCAGGCGAATTCACTACCTGCTGGTTTCCTGAGTGAATGTAGGAGCAAATGAGAGAGAGAAGTATGGACTGGATCCCTACCTGCTGCTCCCTTGGCCTTGTAGGTTAGGCAATACAGATGTCTTCTCTGGATCACCAGTACCTCCCAGTAAAATGAGAGGATCAAAGAGATGGACTGCTGAGGTACCTTTCAGCTTTTTCTTTTTTGCCTTTTTTAAAATGTATTTGCTCAGTTGTCAAGATATAATAATAATAATAGCTTTAAGTTATGTCCCACTGAAGCATGTTTGAGTTTAAATAGGAATCAAAGCTTTCCTTGGTACACAGGATAAGCTGTGATCTCCTCCAATCCAGATCCTAAACTAATGGGGTTCAAATTAATGAATTTTTTCTTTGTAAAGGTCCTAAAGATTTGCTGGCACAGTGGTGACAAAGCATATTCTATGTATTTGATCGTGACAAGTCTTTAAAGAACACTGTTTGTGGCTTTATCTAATCTAGCTCCCCTCTCTCTCTTCCCTTCAGCTGCAAATAACCGGCCACCCCTCCCTCTGTGCCTTGGTGGCCCCGTAGTCTGCTGTGACCATGGAGACTCTCAGCAGCTGCCGTGCTGCCTCCCTCTCTGAGCTGGTGCCCAATGGTTACGTGGCTCAGGTCTTCCCAGGCTGCTCTGAGGTAGAAGGCCTGGCTGGGAAGGTGGGGCTGAAGGAGTCTGAGCAGTGTGATCAGGGTGAATTGAATCCCAGAGAAAAGAGTGGTCAGAACAAGAAGAAAACCAGAATGAACAAGATCTGGAATTTTGTGAGCCGCAGAAAAGGGGCCTCCAGTCAGGGGAAGCGACCCCAGTCCATGATTTTACTGGGAGGCATCTCCCGGCCATCAGAGTTGAAACTCAAATTCACATTAATGGATCGAATGAAGTCATTCAAGAGGTTGAAGCCTTCAACTAGGGACTCCAAGAGTACTACCCCTAGGAACAGCCAGGCCCAGGAACCTCAGGAGGCACCAGGTATCTGCCGGATGAGGAAGGCAGAGAAGGCCCGGAAGCCCTTCCGCCATTCCTGCGCGAGCCACCTTGAGGGCCTGGAGACCTTCCTTGCAGATGTACAGAGATTGGTGCACACCCCCAAGAGGGTGAACCATAAAGTTCTGGCCTTCGATGGCTTTGACATTCAAGTAGAGGAAGACCCCTTGGAGGAAGAGACCCTTGAGCAGCCTGGTACTGGTGAGTGGGCCAGGAGCTACCTGAAAAGCATGTTCTCTGGGAACTGTGAGGTCTTGCACAAATCGGCCGGAGACTCCAGAATCCAGGAGCTGGAGGCCATCATTGAGGGCTCCACCTTGGAAGGGAACGTAGAAGGGGGCTACGAGGAGAGCCCTGGGCGCCTGTGCAGAGACAAGACCACACCTTTCAGTGGTGTTGTCAAGTTCTTCAGCAACATGGCCGAGGTTGCCCGCAAGTGGCGGGCATTATCCCGGGAAGAGCTGCAAATGGGCTGCCAGCAGGAGGCCTACTTTGTGGGTGGCAGCGAAGGTTTCATCCTGGAAAGTGCCACCTCCAGGGCCTCATTCCCCCTCAACCTGTCCTGCCCCCCAGAGGCTGCACTGTGGGGCAGCACCATTAGGAGGTGCCAGCGCTGCCACCGCAAGACCTCCCAGGCCTCATGCACCTTTGAAATGAACATTGAGGGTGAGGAGACACCCGGCCAGGCTCTCGCAGGTCCATGCACCACTGCTGTCTTGGCCTCAGCCTTGGCCTCAACCTCAGCAGTCTTCGAGTTCCAGGGCAACCAGACACCCCAGAACTGCAGCAGCCACCACTATCTCCGTGCCTTCACCAGGGGTCACTCCGCCTCCAAGAAGCTCAACGAAGACACTGAGACTGTGGTCAGCTTCCTCAATGAAGATGACAATGCTAGAGAGTCCTCTGAGTTGGGCATCTGTGCCAGGAGGGTCACCAACAAAGCTGTCATGGAGAAGCTAGAGGAGAAGCCAAGTGAGATGGAGGAGCAGAAGGCTGGCAGTGGGCCTGAGGGGTCCAGCCAGGCAGGGCAGCCCCAGGAGTCTCATTTGGGTATGGGTGCAGTGGATGCAGAGAGAGACGCTAGCAAGGCATGCACTGGAGTCCTGGACACTAAGGTAAGGTGGGAGCTGGCTTTTTCAAATCACTGTTTGAAACATTTAGGACTCCAGAAGCCAGCCAAACTCTAGTGCCCTCCCAAGAACCCCACCTTCTGCCAGGAATGTCTTGAAAGGAATGCTCCCAACAGTCAGGTGCCGGGGACTAGACTGATCCTAAAACTGGGAAATTTTTGCCCCTTCCTTGGGCTGAATTCCTGTAGTCACACCTCAATTCAGCCTTGAACCAAAACCGAATCTTTGGGAATGGCAGCAGAGTGACCAGGATCATTTAATGATGCCCAAGACAGCCATAGTGTCCTGTTTTCCTTAGACTGTGGGACATTTTACCGGCTTTGCCAACTTCCCCTCCTCCACCAACAAAAGCTGAATCCAGAGACTAGTGTCAAGGAAAGCCTCTGGGCTGAATGTCAGGAGACCTGGAGTTTTGTCCCAGCTCTGTGCCCTGTTGTCTGTATGACTTTGAGACAAGTCCTTTCATCACACTGGATCTCAGTTTTCCTATGAAGGGGAGAGGGCTGTCTTGGAAATCTCTAGGCACCTTCTGGTGACAAAACTCTGTGTTATTTGACCTGGAGAATGTAGGCAGAGGACAGCTCAATAATGTGCTTCTCTCAGCATTCATTGAGTGGTAGCTTTTTATCCAGCATCTTGCAGGGTGCTGTCACATACATTACTTTCATTTAATTCTTAAAGTAACCTCGTGAGGTGGGAGAGATTACCCTCATTTTGCCAGTGAGCAAACAAGCTCAGAGAGGTTGAGTGACTTATCCAAAGTCTTAAGAGATTATGACAGAATTTGGATTCAAATCTCACTTTTGACTCCAAGTCTAGTGCTTTTGTCTAGCTATCTATAGTTTTCAGGGGATTTGATTTGAGTGCTGACAAGAAGGTGCTCACCACGCCGCCATTCATGGACAAATGTAGTAGAAAGAATGTTGAATAAACACTAGAAGGGACTATCTGGCTTTGAGACTTAAGAATGTCTTCATAAGGGGGTATGCTATAGTTTCTCCAGATGATTTTAGGGCAAAGTATTTTTTAAGGGTAGTTAATTAAAATTCTTCTCCTTGGTGGTGGTGGTGGAGGGTGGTCTAGCTTGATAGCTCTTGACCTGTCCTGTCGTCTCTCACATTCCACTTTTAGAGAACTCGGGTCTGATCAGGACAGAAGCAATAAGCTCGCTTTTTCCCGGAAGGGCATTAATATGTTTACAGGCATTCTCTTTCTATATTTGTCATTTTTGATAGGCTTTAAGGACAAAAAATTGGCATAATATTATTGGGAGTAAATTTTATTGCAGTGGTTTTAAAACCAACAATCAAAAAAGCCAACAAATAAACATATCTAGTGACTCCATTAACTGATAATTGCCATTGGCTATTGCATGTCCAAGGTTACCAGTCACTAGGAAGAGGGTCATAGATGAGTATATCACCCTACGAGGGGGCTGTGTGGAGTGGGCATGGGGTTGCTTTGTGGGTTCTTTAAAAGCACAGGCTTTGGAGTCACAAAGGCTTGAGTGTGACTTGCCCTCTCATCTGTGAAGTGGGACAAAACACTCCTTACCTAAGAGGGTTGTTGTGGGGAATCGAAGGAGCCAGAGTATGTAAGGTTCTCAGACTAGTACCATTCATGACATGTCATGGGCATCCACAAAGTGGTAGCTGTTGTCATTGAAATTTAGTAAATTAATAAGCGTAAACAATGTACAGTCTGAGAAACAATTGAAGACAGTACTATAGCAGCAGCTGGTTAATGTATTTGAAGGAGCAGTGTCTGAGGTTAGGAAATTGGCTTCTAGTCTCATTTCTACTCCTGACTTGCTTTGTGACCTTGAAACAGATCCTTCCCCTCTCTTGGCCTCAGTTTCTCCATCTGAACCAGAGAACTTGCACCAGATAATTCCTGAGGATCTTTCCTCCTTGCTCTTCTCTAGTTCTTTCCTCCCAGCAATGCCTATAATTGTTTCTGAGTCTGGTGAGAGACTCCTTGCCCCTCAGTGGCTTGTTTCAGAATAGCTCTCCTTGGCAGGCTTCCTGTGCCCTCTGCCGGTTGCTTGGAGATGCTGGCTGTCTTTCCCTGGGGAGTTATACACCAGCCCAGACAGGGATTGGGGTCCAGGAAAGAAGCAAAGTGGAGTTGAAAAGATGAATGTCAGGGAACATTGATGTAGGTCAGGGGTCCTGTTGACCATCTGGTCCAATCACTTCATTTTACAGATGATGGGGACACTGAGTACCAGAAAAGGGAAAGATTTCCTTGACACACAGAAAATGAAAGGCAGATAGAACCCCAAAGTTCTAGTCTTGGCTCTGCCACAAATCCTACTGACAAACTCCCTTCTCCCTCTGGATTTTAGCAGCCTTCTTTGTTACCTGGAGATCCTCCTCCTTCTCTCAGGCACCTTGCAGGTCTATTATGAGTCTAAATTGAGATAATCAATGTGAAAGCAATACATTGGTAAGTAGTAAAGGCCACATGATTACAATGGATCATTATAGGCAAATAAAAGTGAAAAACTTGGCGAGAAGAATGGCTCAGGTTATTTTGTGTTTCTCAGGGAAACTGGGCTTTGTCCAGGGAGTTTTATTTTTGAGGTCTATTCACTCAACCCTCCAGAGCTAAGTGGTTCCTGAAACTGTAGCTGCTTTGGCCTAGATTTGACTGTGACCAAGCCTGGGGCTGCTCTTGTAGCCCAGGTCGGGGGTGCAGCTTCAAGAAGATGATGTCTGAAGGCAGGGGTGGGATCTCTTCAGAGCCCTTCATTTGGGGAGTTTATCAAGGGTCAATAGGGACTGATACTTCTCTGGGCCTCACGCCTTGCACTAAGAAAACAAAAAGAATAATACTAATAATTACAGCTCACATTTACACAGTGCTTATTATGTTCCCAGGCACTGTTCTCAGCATTTCACATGTATGAACTCATTTCATCATACAACTACCCTATGAGTCTGGGACAATCTTTAAAATAAGGATGATAATAATAACTACCTTATAGGGTTGTTGTAAAGATGAAATGAGTAAACACACATAAGTCCTTATAACAGTGTGTGGCCAAGAGTCATTGTACAATAAATGTTGGCTATATGCATTAGTTATTAAAAGCAAATGTCACAGGAAGGGACCATACCTCAAGCCTGTCATTAGCTAACACCTTAGTGGGAATTACTAGACTACAAGTTAGGGGAATAAGGAGAAGAATGATAAGCATTCTTTAGATTTGTACAGGACTTTATACTTTGCAGAGTGTTTTTCTGTATATAAATTGATTTGCAAAACTATTCTAATTATAATTGTCATTATTATTATCATTATTCCCATATGACGGATGAGGAACTTGAGGTATAGTATATAAGGAACAAAACATTGAAGTTGGAGTCAAAATGCCTAGTTTCAAAGTCCTGGCTCTTGTACTTTATTGTATATGTGACTTTTGATAAGTCATTTAACCACTTTAATTCTTGGTTTCCTTCATTTGTCAGCTGGAAATAAGAAGTCTCCCCTCTTTCCTACCTAAGAAGCAGGAAAACATACTAAGTGCTTTTACTTCTATGACACTCATCCCCCCAGTGTCCCTGCTCTATTGAGCTCATTACCACTATCCTATTTTATTATGCTTCTGCCTACAAATGATATTCATAACCATACTCAGAAACAGCTAGGGCGGTGGCTGTTGTCCCCATTTCACACCTGAAGAGTCAGCAGTAGATGTGGGATTAGGACACAGGGACACAGCGATCAAGTCAATGCTGGATCTACACTGCCTCTCACTCCATTCTGGGATCTCTTGAGAATTATTGAGTCCAATTTTCCAAGCCTCTTAACTGCTGGACATTTCAAAGTTGGTAGCACACCTTGAGAAGGAAACTACAGTCAGCTTTTGCCAACAATATTGCCAACAAGTCACATCTGGCCTTCCTCTCCCTGTGGGAGGAACTCTATGGGTTCAGCTCCTCCTTCTTAGTGGCCCCTTGGCAGAATGCAAGGGAGGGATGGGCAGGGCACTCCCTGAGTGAACAAAGCTGCCCCCTTGGTGTGGGTTCTGCTGTCCAGACCATCAAGGACACTCAACAAAGAAGAGGAAAGTCCAGAATGGGTACCACATCAAGGTGTTTATGGACACACCAAATTGTGAAGTCATTGCTACAGGAGCCCCAATTTGGGCAGCCAGATAGTAGATTTTCTTTAAAGACATTAGCAGCTACAGAGGTTTTAACCTTAATTCAGGATAGGCCTTAGCAAAAGTACAAATGGCTGTATTCCACCTTTGTTTTCTTACCTCTTCCAGCTCTAGGGGCCTCTGTCCTCTAAGCTTCAAACTGCTTAGTTCTGGTCCTTCCCGAAGCTGCTGTTTCCAAAAAGCTGTGTCCTTCTGTATTGGGTAGAATTGTGCCCCCCAAAATATATCTCCAAGTCCTAACCCTCAGTACCAGTGAATGTTACCTTATTTGGAAATAGGATCTTTGCAGATGTAATCTAATTATGATGAGGTCATACCTCATTAGGGTAGACCCTAATCCAGTGACTGATGTCTTTATAATAAGAAGGAAATTTGGACATAGATGCAGACAAAGACACAGGGAAGAAGGCCATGTGATGGTGGAGACAGAGGAGTGATGCAGCTGCAAGTCAAGGAATGCTGAGGATTGCTGGGAGCCACTAGGAGGTAGGAGGCAAGGAAATATCCTTCTCTGGGGATTTCAGAGATAACATGGCCCTGCTGACACCTTGATTTCAGACTTCTTGGCTCTAGAACTGTGAGAGAATAAATTCTGGTTGTTTTAAGCCACTCAGTTTGTGTTAACTTGTTACAGCAGTCCTAGGAAACTAATACACCTTCTGTCTCTCAAATCAGAGTTCTGTCCCCAAGTACAGTCTGAAAAGCAATTTGATTAGGCTAATTCATATGGAGGTATTTATCCTCATAAAGAAGGGTGAACCCCTACCTCCACAATGTTGCTGAAATTGGTGGAATGTCAACCATTTTGACCATTGAGATGTTCAGGTCATATAGAGGAAAGAGGATTTGGGGGAAGGTATCCCAAAAATCTTACTATGGAGCTTGACTGCATTCTCTGTAGGAAGCTCCCCCTCCTATCCAGAATCAAAATAATTCAATACTCCAGGCTCTTCCATTGCTGGGCCTCAGTTTTTTTTTCCATCTGTTCAATGAGGTGGTTAGATTGTATGACCTATAAGAAGGCTTTCAGCTCTAACAGTTTATGGGGCTATGAGACAAAGTAAATAAGTTAGGACTAAGGGGAGTGATTAAAAAACAATCTTTTTAAAAATTTTTTTTTAAAGATTGGCACCTGGGCTAACAACTGTTGCCAATCTTTTTTTTTTTTTCTGCTTTATCTCGCCGCCACCCCCCCCCCCCCGCCCCCGCCCCCGCCCCCGTACACAGTTGTATATCTTAGTTGCACGTCCTTCTAGTTGTGGGATGTGGGACGCTGCCTCAACGTGGCCTGACGAGCAGTGCCATGTCCGCGCCCAGGATCCGAACCCTGGGCCGCCACAGCGGAGCGCGCGAACTTACCCACTCGGCCACAGAGCCAGCCCCTAAAAAACAATCTTGAGACCATGTCTTAGTATTTGAACAGATTCAGTATGGTCTCTTGTACGTCTGCAGCTCTATTTTCAGTACTACTCAGTGATTTTTGCTGTGCCTGAGGATGAGCCGACTTTGGCAGCTGGTCTCTGCCCTTGGAAATCAGGTTAGCAATTGGGTAGAGACCGTTCCCTGGGTCATCCAAACTGTTAGCTGCTCCCCACATTCAATCCCCTTAGGGATAGATGATACAGGTAGATACCTGTACTGTGTTCGTAGTGACTTAGGGGTGTTGAGGAGGAACTTGAAGGATGTAGGGGCTTAGGAACTATTTTTATCTTTTCTAGAAAGGCAGCATGGCAGGTCTGTAGTCAGATAGACCTACCATTTACTGGTTGAGTGATCTTAGGCAACTCATTTATCCTTTCTGAGCCTTGGTTGCCTTACTGTAAAATGGGCTACTACCTAGCATATGTAGTAGTTGTGAAGACTGAATGAAATAGCATGTATAAATATACCCAGCAGGATATCTGACACATACCAGGTGCTCTACAGATTTTCAGAGATGTTAATTCCTTTCCCCCTTTTCCACTTGGAGGTCAGGAAGGAAAGAAGGATTTGGGATAAAGACACCTGGCTATGTTGATGTCAAAGGAGAAGACTTGGACTTGGTCTTAGCTTAAGAGGCGCTTCTGGCAAGAGAGGGTTTCTCTTTCTCAATCGCTCTCTTTCTTTGCTTTTCTTTTTTTTTTTTTTTAAAGATTGGCACCTGAGCTAACAACTGTTGCCAATCTGTTTTTTCTTCTCCCCAAAGCCCCCCATTACATAGTTGCACATTTTAGTTGTGGGTCCTTCTAGTTGTGGCATGTGGGATGCTGCCTCAGCGTGGCGTGATGAGTGGTGCCGTGTCTGCACCCAGGATCCCAACCAGCGGAACCCTGGGCCGCCGAAGTGTAGCACGCAAACCCAACGATTCGGCCACGGGGCCGGCCCCAATCTCTCTCTCTTTCAATCTCTCTCTCTCTGTGTCTCTTTCACACATACATACACACTTTTTTAATACTTTATTATGTGCTTTGTATGCATTGTCTCATTTCCTCATGCTAGAAACTCTGCAAGGTAGGGATTATCACTATCCTTTTTGTGCAGATGAGGAAACTGAGACTCAGAGAGATTAATCCATTTGCTCTAGGTCTCACATTAAGTAAAGGTTAAAGTCTATAGCAAATGCAGAATCCTCACTCTCCCCATCCCAATACAAACCAAACACAAAAAATGCCCAAGAAAGGAGAAACAGTTAGGTACTATTTTCTTTAAATCAGTTGCCTGATTTTCATTTTCTCCGCTGCCTCATATCTTTTAGGCTCTTAGTAGTCAGATCTTTGTATTTATTGATGACACATGGTAACCCTGCCTAGATTTGGGGGCTGGACCAGATAATATTTCAACCTGGAAGATCTGTTGTTTAAGCCAAGTGTTGGCCCACTCCCCACCTCCATTGAGTAACTAATGCTGATTAGGTTTCTTTGCAGTTTTTCTTTCCCTCAGCTGAACCATCGCCAAGGATTCCACCCCTCAAAATTCTCCTGGAAAAATGCCATTCTCTGCCCATCTCACAGAACATCCCCATGGAGCTGGATCAAGTAGGCTGGAGGAGGCCCAGGAAGCTTTGCACAGGTATTCCTTTTATGCCCTGGTTTTTGCAGCAGCACATGCCAGGCAGGCCTCATGCATAGACAGACTTTGTTGACATTTCCTCTCCTTTCCTCTTACTCCCCCCTAGTTCCCCAGTACTCTTTCTCATTGGTACCTGAAAATCCACTGTTAGCAATGCCTTGATAGAGATTTTTCCCTCTCCATGCTCTTCTTTTAAAATGCAAATATCCTCATTTTTGAGGCCCTTTAACTCAAAGCACTCAAATAACCCATCTTCCCAAACCTCATTTTTTTCCAAGGCCCTCTGTACGTAATACTTTCAAGGTCTTATAAGCCCCAGTTCTTTGTGTCCATGCTCTTCATAATGCTCTTATATACACCCTGCTGGCCTCAAAGGGACCAGTCCCATAGTCCCCACCCCCAATGGGGTCATCCTAGCCCTGCCTTTCTTGCATCTTGCCTAGACTTACTCTCTGTGGGTCCCAGGTCCTTCCTCTCCTTCATTGACCACTGACCATAGAAAGCCCCTCAAGGCTCAAGGCAGCTTCATTTAACCCACTCAAAACCCAGAGGCTTCCCTCCACCAACACCTCAGTTACCTCCCAGAGCTTTAGAGTACACCCTTTCAGACTCAGTCCACTGGCCCTGCCTGCCAGACTCTTGTCACTCACAAACAAAGCTCCATCTTCTGCCACAATTGGGAGAGTCCATGCTCTCTTACCTGTGGGCTTTATACCACACCCTAACAGACCCCAGTCCCAACCCCCTAGTCCTTTTATTTTTTTAACTTTTTATTAAGATTATGATAGTTTACAACATTGTGAAATTTCAGTTGTTCATTATTGTTAGTCATGTTGTAAGTGCACCCCTTCACCCTTTGTGCCCTCCTCCCACCACCCCCCCCCACCCCGGTAACCACCAATCAGTTCTCTTTGTCTATATGTTTAACTTCCACCTATGAGTGGAGTCATACAGAGTACGTCTTTCTCTATCTGGCTTATTTCACATAATACCCTCAAGGTCCATCCATGTTGTTGTGAATGAGACGATTTTATCCTTTTTTATGGCTGAGTAGTATTCCATTGTATATATATATATATGCGCACCATATCTTCTTTATCCAATCATCAGTTGATGGGCACTTAGGTTGCTTCCATGTCTCAGCTATTGTAAATAATGCTGCGATGAACATAGGGGTGCATGGGACTTTTGGAATTACTGTTTTCAAGTTCTTTGGATAGATACCCAGTAGTGGGATGACTGGGTCATTTGGTATTTCTATTTTTAATTTTTTGAGGAATCTCCATACTGTTTTCCATAGTGGCTGCACAAGTTTGCATTCCTGCCAACGGTGTATGAGGGTTTCTTTTTCTCCACAACCTCTCCAACATTTGCCACTTTTTGTTTTGGTTATTTTTGCCATTCTGACAGGTGTAAGGTGATATCTTAGTGTAGATTTGATTTGCATTTCCCTGATGATTAGTGATGATGAGCATCTTCTAATGTGTCTATTGGCCATCCATATATCTTCTTTGGAGAAATGTGTGTTCATGTCCCCTGCCCATCTTTTGATCGGGTTGTTTGATTTTTTTGTTGTTGAGCTGTGTGAGTTCCTTATATATTATGGAGATTAACCATTTGTCAGATATATAACTTGTAAATATTTTTTCCCAACTAGTGGGGTGTTTTTTTGTTTCAATCCTGTTTTCCCTTGCCTTGAAAAAGCTCTTTAGTCTGATGAAATCCCATTTGTTTACTCTTTCTATTGTTTCCCTTCTCTGAGAAGACATGGTGTCTGAAAAGATCCTTTTAACACTGATGTCAAAGAGTGTTCTGCCTACATTTTCTTCTAGAAGCCTTATGGTTTCAGGTCTCACCTTTATGTCTTTGATCCATTTTGAGTTTATTTTGATGAATGGTGAGAAAGAATAGTCAATTTTCATTCTTTTACATGTGGCTGTCCAGTTTTCCCCACACCATTTGTTGAAGAGATTTTCTTTTCTCCATTGTATGCCCTCAGCTCCTTTGTGGAAGATTAGCTATCCATACATGTGTGGTTTTATTTCTGGGCTTTCAATTCTGTTCCATTGGTCTGTGCACCTGTTTTTGTACCAGTACCATGCTGTTTTGATTACTGTAGTTTTGTAGTATGTTTTGAAGTCAGGGATTGTGATGCCTCCGGCTTTGTTCTTCTTACTCAGGATTGCTTTAGCAATTTGGGGTCTTTTGTTGCCCCATATGAATTTTAAGATTCTTTGTTCTATTTCTGTAAAGAATGTCACTGGGATTCTGATTGGGATAGTGTTGAATTTGTAGATTGCTTTAGGTAGTATGGACATTTTAACTATGTTTATTCTTTCAATCCATGTGCATGGGATGTCTTTCCATCTCTTTACGTCGTCATCAATTTCTTCCAGGAAGGTCTTGTAGTTTTTGTTGTATAGGTGTTTCACTTCCTTGGTTAAATTTACCCCAAGGTATTTTATTCTTTTTGTTGCAATTGTGAATGGGATTGAGTTCTTGAGTTCTTTTTCTGTTAGTTCGTTGTTAGAATATAGAAATGCTACTGATTTACGTATGTTGATTTTATACCCTGCAACTTTGCTGTAGCTGTTGATTATTTCTAATAGTTTTCCAATGGATTCTTTGGGGTTTTCAATATATAAGATCATGTCGTCTGCAAAGAGTGAGATTTCCACTTCTTCATTGCCTGTTTGGATTCCTTTTATTTCTTTTTCCTGCCGAATTGCTCTGGCCAAAACCTCCAGTACTATGTTGAATAAGAGTGGTGAGAGTGGACACCCTTGTCTTGTTCCTGTTCTCAGAGGGATGGCTTTCAGTTTTTGCCCATTGAGCATGATGTTGGCTGTGGGCTTGTCATATATGGCCTTTAATATGTTGAGGTACTTTCCTTCTATACCCATTTTATCGAGAGTTTTTTATCATAAATGGATGTTGGATCTTGTCGAATGCTTTCTCTGCATCTATTGAGATGATCATGTGGTTTTTGTTTCTCATTTTGTTAATGTAGTGTATCACATTGATTGACTTGCAGATGTTGAACCATCCTTGTGTCCCTGGTATAAATCCCACTTGATCATGGTGTATAATCTTTTTAATGTGTTTCTGTATTGGGTTTGGCAAAATTTTGTTGAGGATTTTTGCATCTATGTTCATCAGTGATACTGGCCTGTAGTTTTCCTTCTTTTTGTTGTCCTTGTCAGGTTTTGGGATCAGGGTGATGTTGGCTTCATAGAATGTGTTAAGGAGTGCTCCATCTTTCTCAACTTTCTGGAATAGTTTGAGAAGGATAGGTATTAGATCTTTTTTGAATGTTTGGTAGAATTCTCCAGAGAAGCTGTCTGGTCCTGGACTTTTTTGGGGGGAAGGTTTTTGATTACTGTTTCAATTTCTTTACTTGTGATTGGTCTATTCAGATTCTCTATTTCTTCCTGCTTCAAGTTTTTGGAGGTTGTAAGAGTCTGAGAATTTATCCATTTCTTCTAGATTATCCAATTTGTTGGCATATAGTTTTTCTTAGTATTTTCTTATGACCTTTTTTATTTCTGTGGTATCTGTTGTGATTTCTCTTGTCTCATTTCTAATTTTATTTATTTGAGCCTTCTCTCTTTTTTTCTTAGTGAGTCTGGCTAAGGGTCCGTCAATTTTGTTCATTTTTTCAAAGAACCAACTCTTTGTTTCATTGATCCTTTCTACCATCTTTTTTGTTTCAATTTCATTTATTTATGCTCTCATTTTTATTATTTCCCTCCTTATACTGACTTTGGGCTTTGTTTGTCCTTCTTTTTCTAATTCTGTTAGATGTCGTTTGAGATTGCTTATCAGATTTTTCTTGTTTGTTGAGGTGAGCCTGTCTTCCAATGAATTTCCCTCTTAGGACCGCTTTTGCTGCATCCCAAATGAGTTGGTATGGCGGGTTTTCATTTTCACTTGTCTCCAGATAATATTTGATTTCTTCTTTACTTTCTTCAATAATCCATTGTTTGTTCGGTAGCATGTTGTTTAGTCTCCACATTTTTGCCCCTTTCCCAGCTTTATTCTTGTAGTTGATTTCTAGTTTCATAGCATTATGATCGGAAAAGATGCTTGCTATTATTTCAACCCTCTTGAATTTGTTGAGGCTTGCTTTGTTTCCCAAGATGTGGTCTATCCTTGAGAATGTTCCATGCACACTGAGAGGAATGTATAACCTGCTGTTTTTGGATTGAGTGTTCTGTATACATCTATCAAGTTCATCTGGTCTAATTTTTCATTTAATTCTATAATTTCCTTGTTGAGTTTCTGTCTGGATGATCTATCCAGTGGTGTTAATGGGGTGTTGAGGTCCCCTGCTAGTATTGTACTGTTGTTGATGTCTCCTTTTAATTTTGTTAATAGTTGCTTTGCATATTTTGGTGCTGCTGTCTTGGGTCTGTATATATTTATATGTGTTGTGTCTTCTTGGTGGAGTGTTCCTTTTATCATTATAAACTGCCCCCTTTGTCTATCTTTTTCTGTTTTGCTTTGAAGTCTACTTTGTCTGATATAAGTATGGCGACACCTGCTTTCCTATGTTCATTATTAGCTTGGAGTATCATCTTCCCTCCCTTCACTCTGAGTCTGTGTTTGTCTTTGGCGCTGAGGTGTGTTTCCTGGAGGAAGCATATTGTTCGCTCTTGTTTTTAATCCATCCTGCCACTCTGTGTCTTTTGATTGGAGAGTTCAATCCATTTACATTTAGAGTGAGTATTGAAATGTGGGGGCCTAACGCTGCCATTTTATCCTTTGTTTTCTGGTTCAGTTGCATTTCCTTTGTTTCTTGTCACATGATTTTTGGACTACCAATTCAGGTAGCTAGATTTCTATATTGGCTTTCTCCTTATTTGTAATTTGTGTCTTTATTCTTGTTATTTGTTTAGTGGTTACCATGTGGTTTGTATAAAACATCTCATAGATGAGATATTTCATTTTCTGATAGCCTCTTATTTCCTTAGATTAAGCTATTCCATCCCTTACCTCTT